TGTGTGTGTGTGTGTGTGTGTGTGTGTGTGTGTGTGTGTGTGTGTGAGAGAGAGAGAGAGAGAGAGAGAGAGAGAGAGAGAGAGAGAGAGAGTCTAGGTACAGTGATAATGGCTATATTTTCTCTTCGACGGGAGACGATAGTCTTTTGTTGGTTTGCTAAATGGCTTTACCGAAAAAAGAAAAGAAAAAAATAAAAACAAAAAAACGGCGGTTGTGTATCGGATGTCGCTGAATTGGTCGTCAAGGGTTTAATTTTTTTATTTTTTTTTGAATCAGGCACGATGACAAGAGAAACACAGAGACAGAGAGAGAGAGAGAGAGAGGGACGGAGAGAGAGATTCCTGCACCATCCTCTCTCTCCATGGCAACCTGACATGACTCACATCGTCATGTCTCCATCCTATTCCAACTCTTTCTCACTCTCATTCTGACCCTGCGCCCCATATTTTCAGGAAGTTGTCATTAAGAGTATGTGTCTTCACTCTGCGTGGACTAMCCCCGATGCCATCACCCGCCACATCCTCTCCAAGCATGCCCCACATGCAGCACTGGCCATACACCCGCAACAACGGCACTGAGATCTCTCTCATCCTTGCCAGACGATCAACAGACGCAACAGCCTGAGGTGAAAATAGACTATCACATGAACCACCCTACAGCCCTACTGCACCCTGCTCAGTCAATCCTCTGGTGATCCAGAGTAATCAAAAAAAAAAAAAAAAAAAAAAAAAAACCCTACAGCACGCTGTAATGAAAGGTCATCAGCGCCAGGGTGAGCTGTTGGAAACCAAATCTTGCTACAGCTAAACACCCTTACTCTGAAAGTTCATCAGCCCCAGGGTGAGCTGCTGGAGACAAAATCTTGCGACATAAAAAGAAGTATCTTTTCCCAATATAAAAATTTGGTGCAAGTTTCTCATAGCGATCGCAAGATGGAGACTTCAGTTGCATAAATAGAAACCCATGTCCTCCTTCTCGGCGAATGGCTCATCTGACCATTTTTCTCGTCTCTATTTATTAATTAACTGAGGCAATTATGAAGAAACAGAACTACCTCTTCTCCTTCTCTCTTGAATGGTGAAAGCAAAACAAAAGCAGACAGGTTGAGACTACCTTCTTCACCCGAACACAACATACCGTCATTATAGCTCTATCTGGACTTGAAAGGTAACCCCAATACAGGCTTATACAGCTATAATGACCATACGTTGTGCTTATACAGCTATAATGACCATACGTTGCATTTGGGTGAGGAAGGTAGGTTACTGCCACTTACTGGCCAGAAGAGAAGAAGCAAGACGAAGAAATGCGCAAAGAAGGACAAGAAAAACGACAAGAATCAAGACGTTAAGATTTTTTTCTGCTGGTAGATCTCTGAGTATGCTTGCAGCAACATACCCGCAGACACTTGACTTCTCCCCCACTTTGGGTTCCTCCCGGACTGCTGCTTCTTATGCTCATTCCCTCTTCTTTTCTGTCTGTTGATGCGGTCTGCCCCTGCCCCACCAGACCCTCATTGGCTCTTCACTTGCCTCGTTGTCCTCACGGGGCCCTAAGTCAAGGCAGGCCTCCACAGTGTCGCCTGATACCAAAAATTTCGGCATTTTCAAAATGCGAACGACCGGTCACCACACAACTTCCACACCCTTTGTACCCCATCTCGAGTAGTGGCCAGCCGCAGAAATGCACGCCACCTTGACACAAATGCCGCAACCCAACACACAACTTCCACACAGGTTGTACCCCATCTCGATGGGTCGCCATAGGCCACCTTGACACAAATGCGGCAATCTATACGGCAGCCTTAGGGATGTGAATGCTGGAACCCACCATGCGGCAACCTTAGGGTTGCGAATTGTGAGCGTGGCCAAATGAGCCAAAGCCATGTGTCCCTCAATTATCTCATATTTTTTCCATTATTATTCATATTACCAAAAATCGCCGAAGTAGACACATTCTGATTACCAAAAAATGCCCGAAGTAGACTCTCTCAATGTTTTGCAACAAGCTTGTGACAAGCTGGGATCCGTACTTGGCGGGTTTGCGTACTCCTTCGGAGTAAAATCTGAAGTACGCCCAGAAGCACGGATCTTAGGGGATCCTAGCTGATCAAGAAAAGCCGGGTCCATTTTTCGTCGGTCCTAGATTAAATTGTCTACGGCGTGGTCTCGGGAACGTAGCCCTAAGGCAGAGAAAGCAATGAGACTAAGAGCACGCACAAGAGAGAGAGAGAGAGAGAGAGAGAGAGAGAGAGAGAGAGAGAGAGAGA